AGAGACCCGCATGCACACGCATGTGAGCTCGTCTCGCCAGGATGCCTGTGAAAAGCTCTGGCGCTTCTCAGCACTGCTTCTGGAGAGTCCACAAGGTGCTCAGAGGCAAGCGCGTGCGCAGGTCCTTCACAGACTGAAAATCTTTCTTTCGCTCATTTATTCAAAAAGTATCTACGAGCCTGGGACAGACTGAATGATGAAGACACCCATAAGTCCACAGCATGTGGGGAGGTGGAGAATGTGAAGGGAAGGAGAGGGGAGAGTGATGAGCCTGGAGGACCGCGGTCGGGACGCCAGCAAAGGTGGGCTTGGCGGGCAGGCCCCGCGGCTCCAGCACAAGCTCCTGGGCCTGCCGGTGGGGGGACAGTGAGAAGGCTGGGGCCGGGCAGCACGGAGGGAGGGAGGCAGCACGGCCAGACCTGGGAGCAGCGTGCACTCCTGCAGCCGAGCTGACACTGAGGGGGCCGGGCGGCAGGGAGGTGGGGCAGCCGGAAGTTCGGACTGTGCTTACACAGTTTCACTGAAGGAAAGTGGGAGCACACATTGCTGGAGGAGGACGCTTGCACTGAAATCCACGTGCACTCCGCCTGCCACCCTCCTTCCCACATGAAAGGAGAACTGAGTCGCCAGGACAGTGGCCAAAATCTAAGACATGGAAATCAGTGTCCAGTCTCTGCACAGTTCCGGATCTAACCTAAGTTTTCGTGGACAGGGAGAAGCTACGCAGCCTGCAGTGGGGGTGGTGGGCGGGGGGTGAGGGCTCAGACTGCAAGCTGCTGGGCCAAGGGCTGACGACCAGGGCAGGGCACCGGCTGTGTGTGTGTGCGCACACGTGTTAGCAGACACGCGTGTTCTCATCGGGGACCGGGGTGTGTGCACACGTGTTAGCAGACACACATGTTCTCATTGGGGACGGGGGTGTGTGAATGTGTTAGCAGACAAGCGTGTTTGCATCGGGGATTGGGGGTGTGCACACGTTAGCAGACACACGTGTTCACATCGGCAACTGGGGGTGTGCGCACGGGTTAGCAGACACACGTGTTCACATTGGGGACTGGGGGTGTGTGCACACGTGTTAGCAGACACATGTTCTCATTGGGGATGGGGTGTGCGAATGTGTTAGCAGACATGCGTGTTTGCATTGGGGACTGGGGGTGCACACGGGTTAGCAGACACGTGTGTTCACATCAGGGACAGGGGGTGTGTGCACACGTGTTAGCAGA